TATGTAAATCCTTAACCCTATAACTTCCGAGATATAATTAGTAATTCTCCTTACTGTCTGCCATACATGTCTTTTGATGTTTGTTTGATAAACTTATATTCCCCAAATTGCTATTTTTCCTTGATCTCATCACTTTTGTGCTTGATATTGTATTGATATTGAAAGGAGAAATTCTGTCTTGGTCACTCATGGGAGTTAAAGGGCTAAAGACTTCCATGAGCAAATCTTAAGTGAGACATTTGAATTTCAGACAAAGGTGTTGGCGTGCCATTTACTATGGTAAGATGATTGTACCGGATCAACGTACTAGGGATGGTCACCTCATGATAAAAAATCTTTGCAAGTATTTTCGTGTCAAGTTTGGAATTCGGCTCAGGGAACCCGATTACAACATGCTGAGGAATGTTAGCCTCAAGATGTTCAAAGTGGAGAACGTGCCTCCCTACAAGAGCGATATGGATAGGAAGACGCTGTTGAAAGCTCAGGCTGTTAAAACCAAGGAGATTTATGAAGGTAATGCCGTATAAATAGGGTGGGGTGTTAGAAGGGAACATTCAAGGAAAGTTTAAAACTTTCTTTTTTTATCATTTTGAGGAATAACTGCAACAAAAGCCTCAATGATATACCTATTAACTCCCCGGCATGGGGGGGTGGGGGGATATTATCATGAAAACTTTCCCTTTATTTTCTCCCCTGTAACTTTATGGTCATGGGTAGGAACATCTTTTGATATTTAGACTTTTTCAATAGACTCCCTGGCATCAGGGCGTACCTTTGCTGAAAATGTTTCCTCACCATTTTTTTCCTGTATATTTCTTTGTTGTAGGGAAACCAGAGAATTATGTTCCAACTTTTCAAGCCCACAGAGTTGAGGTTGCACCCCACACGTTTAATCGTTTAAAGTACCAGGTTGAAGATTCTTCAGGGGACGGGGTTGTTTTTCAGATCACCAATAACGGGCACCTCCCAGTTCATATTTGTTTGGTTTCCTACCAGTCAGATGGCTCCATTTTTGTCTTATATCCAACAGCGAACAGGGCAAGTCATTTTTTTTGGTTTTGTTTTATTATCGGGCATTGTGCATTGCTTTACCGGAAAAAGGTTTTTACATCTTCAAGACGAACATTTTTTTCGTTGGTTTTGAAAAGACATCGCCCAACTCAGGGGAATCCTGATTTTCATTTACTTTCAACACACCAAACTAATATCGCGATTTATAAAACCACTTGTATTTTTTCTTTTACGACCTCGTCAGTTGATACAATAACTATTCGAACCTAAAGAAATTTCATGAAGCAACTGCTAATGCCAGTGTCAAAACGAATGATTAGTTTAGCGTTTTTTTTTAGATGGCAAGTTATCGGAAAGGGTTTATGAAGCACATACGCCTTTGAAGACATTTGTACTTTGAAAATCATATTATTATCACAGTTGGAAGCGTTTTACCTCTAATAATTATTAATGCAAATAGTAGTTTGTCTTAGTGCATCGAAACTATACCACCCAGGGTAACTTGGGTCTATCAAATGAGTTGATGACGTAACTTGGCCACCGTCAAGAGTTTCAAACAGAAGCTGATCTTTCGAGCGTCAGCCATCCGTCAAAGCGAAGGGCTAACGTTCTGACGAAGGGCTAATGCTCGAAACGTCAGCTTTGAAACTCTTAGCGGTGGCCAATTTAATTACGTTGTCAACTTAGTTGATCATACTAAATTACCATGTTATACTCTTCCACCGACGCAGCACCACAGTTTCTTTAGAAACTTACCCCCTTTTATAACATCCAAGGTATGTTTTAACTGATAAATTTTATACACTGACAATCAAATACCGTAGAGTTCTGAAAACTGAATGCTGTTTGTATTCATCCACACTGTAGGGTATCAGCGGTGTGCTTAATCCTGGTGACTCAGTATCAGAGATCAGGCGCGTCTTTATCCAGCCTGAGACAGTCCGTCTCATGGGGGAGCCCAACGTTGAATTAACAAGACCTGACGGTTGTAATGACATCATTATGTTGTATGCTACCAATGCCGAGGTTGATTATCAGCCTCTGTTCCAGACTCCTTTAGAGCTCAGTCCTTATTTAAGCACTAGAGGGATTGACACACCCGATGTATGTATCACTTTTCTTTGTATAAATTAAGTCCATTTATGAATGTACAAATTATTATTAGAACGTTTTGAGTGTAGAAAACAATTTGGCGTTTCATTGGAGTTTCTTTGCTATGATCTGTGATTATAGACAGTCTTGAAGACTCGATAGCTAACCCGTTCGCCGCGCTCACTCGTGAGCTATCGAGTTAAACACTCGAAGAGAAATTTCATATCCACAAGCAACCATTATTTTGTTAAACACAATAGTCCTTTACTGACAAGAAATGTCAACTTTATTAATTAATGAATGAAAATAAAATTATCGACAATCCCCGAATAAAAATCGCAAAGTGCGTTGGCGCTAAGGTTCAAGATGAAAGATACGTTGAAACACTATTAAAACAAAGAATGGGCGTAATTTTCGATACACAAAATTCTCAGTTATTGACTTAGTCCTTACCAACAGAAGATATTTTTTAGGTACACAGCAAAAATCGGCCTGTAACAAATCTTCTAGTTGTCGATTTTCATTCTCAGCCGCGAGAAATGCCATTACCAAAGCCACTGAATACGTAACTCACGGTTTTTCTTTCCGAATTTTGGTTTTCTTCAGCTTCTGGGAAAGTTTGAACGTCACTGTCTGTAAGCGATACGTATTTTTCAGTGTTTTAGCAGCCATAATCCGAAAAAATTTTGGCAAGCGACCTTGGATTGAGAATGGTAAAGGCTTCGCCGTTCATTTATTAACCTGACCGAGTGACGCGAAAGGCGAGTGACGTGTCAGCAGCTGATTGGCGATATCAAACGTTTTTACGGCTTTTCTCAAGGCTGGAAATCCTTGTATAACACCGTAGTTTATATGATAAAATATGTTCATACTTATAGTGCGCAATTTCAACGTGCTATTATGATCAAATGCGACCAAGTGTGACAAAGGCTACTCCTGTTTCCCCGCGCTTTAAGCGTTGTGCTTGTTTCTACTTTGGATTCTCATTAGCCCTTTGTAATATTACTTTTGTTCTGATTGGTCATTTGGATCTATTTGATCCCACAACTCACCTCATGCAGATAGCTAGTCACACACTAGAACTTATCTGTCACAGTTGTCAAATTGACTATGAATCATTTTGGTGTTAAAAATCTCTTTAGGGTAACGAGAAAAAAAGAAAGGGAAAATAGTCTTGATTTTATGTAATTTCGAGGTGAATGGAACAGTTAAGGAAGTGTAATAAATGTAGGGAAACATTCACAACATGTGCATGTCAGTGAAAAGTTAGGTACAGGGATATCAAAATGTTTCTTGTAGCTTTAGGAAATCAAAATTCTGAAATCGAAGGTTTATTATTTGTTTGAGTATTCCATTAAGATACACTTATCCTATGAGGTTGTAGGTGTGACATGCACCGGCTTGGTCTGGTATGAGTTTTTACCAATCGAAGCCAGTGAAAATTGACCCGTGGTCAGCGAAAGGTAACGAACCCCTGTTCACCTAGTTACACAACGTAAGTGTATCTTTTTTACTTTTTCTGTGTTGTTTAAAACAGGGATTACGACTTGACACCGTCGCCAGGTTTCGAGAAGCTTTGGAGTCCGAGCCAGTTAACCGGGACATTTTGGATGGCGACGTGAAGTGGATTGCTTTGAAGCGGGAGATCAGGGTGCTATACCATCCACAACAAACCTTTGAGCCAATCGTCTATCCCAAGAAGGAAAAGGAAAAGGATTAAAGCAGGAACTACTAAATACATGTGGTTCTACGTTCCTTTTTTTTTTTTTTATCTCTTCTTTTTTGGTACTGTAGTTTTAATTTTAATCCCTTAACAAAGATTTATTCTTTAAGATGACTGCAATTTAACAGATCTAAATATGAACATTAACGTTTTAAAACATTTAAGAGGGATACACGATGTCCAATCCCTGAACGTTCTGGTGTAACCTAAGATCTTTGGGGGAAAAAAAACTTTTTGTGGTCGTCTTTTCTCTGAAGTTTTTTTCGAGAACCATGTTGTCTTAAGAATAAAATCGCTTTGCTTAAAAGTAAAAAAAAAACTGCAGAATTGCATGAGCTACTTTTGTCTTTATTAAGAACATTAGAAGACACATACAATAAGTTCAACTTATCTGGAGCAGACATAATCAAGTTAAATCTAGGGGTAATTACAACTGTCTCACCGCGGATGCGGAAAGGGATAGAGAGCTATAGGTTGATGAAAAATCAGTCACCCAACTAAAAATCAGTTTTTTTAAGGACAGACAAGTGTTTTTGTAAAAGTGCTGCTGCAGGATGTAAACTCTAATGCTTTTTAAAAAAAGGAATAAAATTTAAACGGTTTGCTTGTTTGTCTCCTTCAAGTATTTGCCACGGCTCTTAAAAAGTTATATATCATGGATATGAATGGGTGGGTCACAGGAGAACAATGTATAATTCTTATTATAAAAAATGAATGTTACTTTGAGTACTGTTCTTCCAAACTGACCTTTAAAGCCAAACATCATTCATCGACTTTTCCCAGTAATGTTTTACTTAAAGATAGAAATAATTGACATCATACTTTTAAGTCACGACTTCATTCTCTGAGAATGAAAAAGGAATTAAGTTTGGTGCCCCTTTATTTATTTTAATGTTTACGATGATCATGGTTAACACGTTGATAATTTGACCCAGTAAGGAATTCCCCCCAACCCTCATGCGTGTCAATGTTGTTAAGGACGGGCGACAAAATAAATTCAAAGAGAAAGGTAGTATGGAGAATTTATGTAGAGATCTTGAATATAAAAGGGAAATTTAGTTAAAACTCTCCTGAAATTTATAGAGAAGCTCGCAAGGTGTGATTTTCACTGTTATGATCATACGAGCACTTGATTTGGAACACCTGATGAAACGTTACATTACCCCTATACCCCTAAAAGTAACTGGCTTCTCATTCTCCTCACAATGTCACTCTTGAATCTATATGAAGGTCATGAAAATGAAGGAAACGATTACAAACTCACAAAACTCCTGATTTTCAAACCAATTCTCCTTGTCAGTTCCATGGGAAATGTAAAGAGAACAGTGCGGAGAATATGATTACTAATGTAATGGGTTGATAAATGGATACTTCGATACGGAAATACTTATTAATGCCCAAATGAGCTTATTGTAAGTTATCTAGATTAGAGAGAAGCGTCACCAGAGGCGCACTCCAGTAATCCTTCATAAAACTCTACTTTTGAAAGCATAATGCTGTTACTATTAACATTGCTAATATAACTAGTATCAAGCAACTCCTTGTTCTCCAACACTGCAGGTCCTTGATACTTGAAAACGTCATCTCTTTCGTCATCTCTCCGTCGCAATCCTTTTGACTCAGAAGATTTTTCCTTTGCCGTGGTCCTTGAGTTGAACTGCTGAAGAACAAGACATTTTAACCTTTGGTACAACAAATTCACATTTGGCACGACATTTAACGTTTGGTTCAAATTTTATACTTTGGAAAATGTCAAAAAGGACTGAAGCCAGTATTTCTAGTGTAACATTTTAGGTACTTTGCCTGGCCCCCTTGATTGGAGAGCACAGCCTTACTAAGTCAGGTTTTTGGGGTCTTGAGTACTGATTGAACAGGGTGAGCATTCTCATTTAAAAATTGTCTCACTGGACCGAACGACTTCAATAGAGCGTGAGTATTGGCAGTATACGGTCTACTTTTTCGCGCTACAACAATTTCCCTTAATCTTACTCCTACATTCTTTCTGAAATTAAAGGGGTGGCTACTTGAGTTGTGTAATTTAAAATTCGTTTAACAACATTTTGTTAACTTTCTGAGAAAATAACTTTTCACCACATACTTTTTTTGGGATGTACCCGTCTCCTGATTTTCATCTCGTTCCAGCTGGGAACCGTTTTGCTATTAAACAAAAAAAGAAAACATGTTACTATGACTCATTCTGTACGACTCATCTTAACAAATTTTGCGTGCAGTTGTTTCGAGGTAGGTCAGTGGAGTCAAGTTTTATTCCTCATTTTACACCTAAACTATTATACAGAAATGCAGATCAAACGAAACAAACCATAACAAAGGTTCCTGAGCATGCTTGCCAACGGGAAAACGGGGCTTTGTTATTTGAATACTGCAATTACTCTTTTCAACCGTACCTGCTCGTTGAGTCGCGTATCTTCGGTATCTGCGTGAAAGTTTCTTCTAACGTTCAACACTGCATTCGGAGAATTGCTGGTCTCCTCGTGCCCGGATGAAAATTCAGTTGAGTTGGTTCTGTCTCTGGAGCTGCTATAACCCTCTGTAATTTAACAGAATGCAATAAGTATTTTAAAATGCTTGAGGCGATGAGAGACTCTATTTGGCATCCTTCTTTTGGTCCAGAGAATTCGATATAAATTTGGAGCCAACTTATTTTGATAGTTCATACTAGAGTACTGAGTCAAATTCTGTTTTGCCCTTACGATCCGGATTAAACTGGCTTTTTCATTAGGTCCAAACAAGGGTAAAGATTATTAAGATATGTGCACATCACCATAAAGTTTGGGAGGGAAATGTCTCGCGTCACTCGTGCATCTACGGTCCTGAAGCATGCGCCGCTTCAGACACTTGCAATGTCGCTTCATTTGGAAAAGAATCATATAAAATGAACGATAAGAGAAACTAGTTTACAGTTCTTTCTCTCATGTGATGTTTCTTTCATACCGTCACCACCTGTCGGCTCTTGTTCCTCAACAGCGTCGGGTCTTCGTGTTGTTTGTGACTGGTTTTGTGTCTCGTCTTCTTCCTGCCCCTCTGGCACTGCTGCTACTTCACACCTTTGTTCACCTTTCATATCTTTATTGTGACTTTTCTTTTCTAAAGAGGTACAAGGTTTGATGTCAAGGAGGTATCATCGGGTGCGGGAGAATGTTCTCCCTCTTAGTTCATTTTCTTTCTTTACTCCATAACTTAAGGGCATTCCAGTTAGAATGTAACTGTTTGAGTTGAAAATAATGGTACTACGTCACCGGGCTGCTTTACAAGTTTTTCAGACAAAAACGGGTTGTCGCCAGGGAAGAATAATTTGAGAATGTTGGCAAGACAGATATTAAGACGGACCGAAACAAACAGTCATTAAAACCCTGAGAAGTAGATAAGATGTGCATTTTGGTTCAGAAAATGTAAATATTTATTGAACCTGCAACAATTATATACTACTTACCAACAAGAAGAAGAATTTTCTCCGTAAGAGCTTGACACCGCCTTGACCAGGCGAATTCACTTTCGCACCTCTCTTTTAACCTCTTGGCTTCCTGTAATCGCTCTGATCTCGGTTTCTCCTTGATAAATCGAATCGCGTTCGCCCATTCCTTGCTGTCTTCGGAATTCACGATACAAGCTGATTCGTTTATCTTTTGAAGAGCTTTGGCAAAACCTGAATTTTTTCCGACCAGAATCGGTAGACCTGCGGCTAAGGCTTCTAGAGCTGTCAATCCAAAGCCTTCTGTTCTTGACGGCATGATGGCAAGATCCACCTCGCACAGCAACTGAGCGACTTCATCTCTACATTCGATAAAACCACGAACTGTCAACTGACGACGAGAGATGTCACACTGAAGTAACTTCTTTTCAACATCTTCCTGTTGTCCATGTGGTGCGCCAACAGCATAGAGGTGGTACTTCTCATCGTTAAGTTCTGCAACTGCTCTTGCGGCTATGTCAAATCCTTTAAGCTTGAAATCTTCCGAGTCACCACGACCAAATATCAAAACGTTGAAGTTTTCTCTGTCTTCCTTGACCTGCTTGCAGGGGCGAAATTCATGGAACATACTTGGATCCGGTATCATTTCGAAAACCTTCTCCGGTCCGCCTTTATCAGGACGCAGTGAGGTCTTGTAATACTCTGTTAGTTTGGGACCAATTGCAGCCACAACATCAGCGCGTTTGGCGAGATCTACCTCATCGCGGTGCTTACTTTCTCCTCTTGCGATTTTGCCTTCATAATTCTTGTAGGTGCCAAGTTCCTCCGGAGCGGTATGCTCAAACTGAACCCAGACACATCTTGGATGTTTCACTTTAATCAGCTGTGCCTGCTTTCCCAGCTTCACTCCATGCCCAACAACCACGTCAATCAGTGGCAATTCCTCCGGAGGGAACGATAGCCGCTCAAAACCATTATTATAACCAGGTCGTTTCTTGGCTTTTATAATGTTGATGTTACTACTCTTGGCCATTTGCTTATCTTCTTCGTTGGATTTGATAACGTAGAAGTAGATTCTCAGATTGGAGTATCTTGCAAGCTCGATTGCCAGTTGCCTATTGATTGTTGAGAGGCCGCCTTTGCCGGAGCCCCACTCCTCAGCTAACAGCAGAACAGTAATTTCATTGGTTGAGGCTATATTCTCTTTTCCTAAGATCGTAGATGGATGGTCAATTAGAAGATAAAAAGATATTTAAAAAGAAATAAATTGCTAGCTAGCATGCGTGTAAAGATTCCTTCTAGTTGGACACTAAGCAACATAGATCTATCAGAATGGTATTGAATCGACTGTTGATCATCCCTGCATGATTTAACCCTTCTAGTTTCTTAAATGGTATAGATAATGGAATGAAGATCTCGGTCTGCTGGTATTGGCTAATATGCTTCTCTGATTTTCCTCCATCCAAAGAGCCAGTAATTCAAATATTTAATGTAATATTCTACCTGATGAAACTTAAGGGGAAATAAGAGTTTAAAATGTATGATGGTACACAAAAGTGAAAACAAAACAAAATAAACCTGTTTCCTCCTGACTGTTATTTTTCCCCGAAGCCTAAAAAAAAAGAAAGCAATTCCAGTTAGTTACCAACAAATGCTTCTATCTATCTACCTGCAATTCGTCGGCCAATTGAAATCAATTAGGCCTCCGGTAAATTTTTAGTGAATTTCACTTTTGTCATATGGATGTTGTAAGAGAGCGTTACATGTACGAAAATCCCATTTTTTAAATCCGAAGAACGGTCCTATGTCGGGCGTTAAAATCTTCGCTCTTAAATCGCTTCACGAAGGTCTTTCTCGTTACAACAAAGAAATTATGCTTTCTTGTGTGGTATATAAAAACAATGAGCTACCTGGACCCATCTCTCAAATTTTTCCTCAGGGAGACGCTTCATGGCCTGTTGGCAAAACAAGGCAATGTGCCTTTTCAAGGGAATATAGTGGGCGCAGTCTTCGTGATGACAATTTCTCTTGTCGTGCCAGATACATTTTCGGGTCTTTAAGTTGACCATTCCTGCGCAAAGTCTGCATTGCACACTGAGATCCCAGGAAACAGAATGTAACCAGTGACAAGTTGCACACACCGCTTTCAAACTCCTTTCCAAACAACTAAAAAAACCATTTTATAAAAAGTTTGAATTATACATTTAAGTATCAATCAATGCACAAAAAAATATTTTTGGATGTAGCTTAAGGCCTCAAAATAGGCGGGAATGATGTCAAGGATACTAGACCAGGAAAGGGGTATTAGTGAATGTAAATGATCAAGGAAATAATTGTTAGCCTAGCTCAACTTGTAAGGAGAATGGCGTTCATATGGGTTGAAACTGAGAAAGCAAATGGGCAAGCAGTCTTACCAATAAATCTCTGAGTAAAGTCCTGGATCACTGTATTGTCTTGTACTGTCTTCAGACCAAACTTGCACCTGTATGACACTTTTGAAGCACTTCAACTCCAAGAAGTTCACGCCATCTAAGATGAAGCATGCTGTGTCGGCGTTTATTTGCAGCTGCTCAAAGGAACTTTTCTTCGCAGCCCATGCTCCGATAAGCATAGCCAATCTGGAGAACAAGCCAATCGGTACGAACTTGGTTCCAAAGATTAGATAAATCGGTGGTGACGTTGAAGAGCCATTCTTACTCGGGATGACTTCATTTTCTCCCGTCGCTCTTTTAATCATGCATGGAACGAGGTAAATGGGGTTCTTTTCCTTCCTTGGACAGTGGAAAAGAAGATTGTAATGTTTCATGAGAGAAACCAATGCTTCCTCAATATCTTTTACTTCCCATTCTGTACAGGTGCGATGTAAAAGTTTTTGGTGTAGGATTCCTGTCTCTCGAAGCTCCTTCCGTAAGTTTCGAAATTCTATCTTATCCTCTTCTTCCGGTGGCAAACTTAATAGCTTGCACAGTCTACCTACGAGCCACTGTGGATCCAGTACCACCAAGCCATCTTGTTTAGAAGCATTCTCGTGATAGATTATCGACCGACGATCGCAAAGGAAGAGCAAGATCTGGTCAATTTCATTCAAATCTTGAGTTTGGCAAACTTTCTTCGTGAGGACCTCTTTGGTAGTGTAGTACTTAATTCCCTTCTTTGCTTCTTCTTGGATCTTTCTTTCTATGTCAAACCATTTTAAGGGAATCTTCTTCATAGCATGCGGCAGCTTGTTGGCTTCATCTAATATTCGCCGACGCAATTTGGCAACTTGTGGGTCTTCTTGGCCAGGTACATTAAGTGTGTTGTCCAAGACGAAGTTTCCTTTGATCTGATCGCCCAGCTCAATTTTGCGGAATCTGTCCAAAAGTGCATCCATGATACTCCTGGGGTTTCCATTAACACAGTCCGCATGAGTACCCACAAGTAAGACAGGAGGAAGAATTTCATCAGCTGCAGAATATCTCATGGAATTCAATATGTCCATCCACCTCATAATACAGTCAAGATTGGAATCTTCGTTCTCTGAATTCGTTGCTGACCCGTTCTCGTTGTCTTTTGCCGTTGCCTGGTCAAACAGTCCTTTTGACAAATCAAACACCAGGACGTACACTGCGTCTGGGGTCATGAACATAGGATGTATGGCACGATAGGCACCTTGGCCAGATAATTCCCATACTACTAGTTCTATTTCAGGGGAATTACTTCGAGCGCCATCGACCTCATCTTCCAGTGAGATACCCTCAATTGCGTTGATTCCATTAGTTTGAGAGGACACTTCAGTAAAAAAGAAAACGAACGAATTTCTTAACAAGAACGGATAAAGTCATTGTGCACTCGTCACTGCTTCTAAACAAAGTTGTAAAGAGTTCTCCTTAAATTATTATTAAGGCTCTATTCAATTTTTCCTGAAAATTGCGTGCTATGCGTTAAATTATCGTACCTCCAGTTTTTTTATATTATTTTACGATGATGAAATGAAACAAACCTGGTCGAGCGTTTTCACGAGTGGCTGAGTTCCCCCAGGGTTTATCATGAGTAGCATTTTTGATAACCTCGCTCATAAGTATGCCATTCACACTGCGCTCGTTCTCTTCAAACTTTTCGCCTCTCAGTGCTTTTGCAACACTTGTTTTTCCAACTTGACCTTCACCAATCAATATTACCTTGACTCGGTTGTCAAGTGTTTCACCTGATGTCAAAGCTCCTCGGTAAGCTGTTACGGCTTGGTTGCCTCTTGCCAAAATGTAGGTGGGAAGCAGATCTATAGACGGGAAATTAAGGTGTGTTACTTATTAGCTCAGTAGTGTTCAACGATGTTGCTGAAAATTTGCTTTAGTTCTTGAATAAGATACTCGCTTGATTTTCTCTGAAGTCAAATTGTAGCGAAGAAAATTGAAAAGCAAGACGTGTGTTGCACTCACCTTTCTGTATGCAGCAAGTTTTAACCGCCAGATCTCGCCTGTTCAGGGGTGATTCGCCCAACAGTGCAGCCAGTTCTTCATAAGTTTGGTTCTTCAGTAGATGCCTGGGTATGGTCATTCCATCAGTGAAATCTTTAGCGTTGTCTATGGAGTCCCCACTATTGTATCCTGGATCATCATCGTTTACTCTCAATAACTCAAATAACTTCTTCTTTTCATCAGGATTGCTATTTATTTCTCTGACTATCCAGTCAATGTCTCCTTCTGTCGGTTTTCCTTCTTTCAGCAAACATTTTATATCTGTGGATCACACGGACTAGTGTGAGTTAAACATTTTTGTGGCTTTTCATGTGAAGCGTTTACTTTTTTATGATGATTGCAATAACGCTATATTCGGGAATCCCTGGCAAACCAATTATTGCTCCAAGGTCATTGCCAGAGTGGAAAGGACAAAATACTAATTCCTGTGACCTCTAAAATTTATTTTCATAACATAGAAAGACAAATTCCAGTCCTCGTTGCACTTGTTTCCTTCGCTGCCTTCTCTTAACTGTCGACAATCGCAGCATTGCCTTTGTCAAACTATCATTGACACTACTTTTACAGTGACTAACGAGTCATGCAGCGTAAACAGGCGAGAAAAGAGCCTTACCGATTTCATCCTCATCTTGGACAAAATGATTTTCCTCTTGTTCCTGGGTCTCAGAGAAGTCCATATTCTGCTTTAGGGGCTCTGGTGGAAATAAGTTGAATAAAAACATTAAACAGTTTCGACTTCCAGCCTGAGGAATAAAAGTGATCCATGAACAACATAACTGTTCAACCTCTGATTGAGACGTCGTTTTTTTATTCATTCCACGATACGAGTCAATATCCTTGCAAAAAATCTGCAAAGGACCTTTGGCGGTGCTTCTCGGAAAATGGGCAAGGTTGACTGATTATCATAAAGTTATTTGGGCGTGTGGTCAAAATTGCTATGCGGATCGTGACAAGCATTCCAAACGATGCTCATTCGAAATCTTAAATCGTTTGAGAGCTCCAACAGATCTATATGGCAGTCTCTCACTTTTTACCGGTTAGATGTTATCATGTTAATCCTAACTCATATTCTACTATTAGATTGTCTGCGCTTCTTATGCGGTTATGGAATTACAATACATTCAAGAGATTAGTTTGCAATGTAGATGTTCAAGTGCTTTACTTGGTAGTTAAGTTAGATTACAAAATTGCTGCACAGCTTCAATGTGTTATCATTTGAACTGATTTCGCATCAAATTTTCGCTATTCAAACTACGGGGTTATTTATCTGTCACAGTCCGCGTGTGACCTCCACTTCACTTGGGTTGATGAAATTCAGCCAACGTAATGTAAGACTTGAAGACTAGAAATACAAGTTTCAGAAAACGTGATACTTAGATAGCTCATTACACAGTAATCGGCCAGAAAGGAACTTTTCAAATAAAGCCAAAACGTTCAAAACCTTGCCGACTGACGCGTGATTTTGCACTGAGAAATCAAAGTACCGTGACAGTAAACCTTGGAATTACAATAAACGGAATGAATAGTTGTGATTTACTTCGAAACTGGTGTAAATGTTTCTTTTCAAGCTAGAGATGCAAATTCGATTCCCGGGTTGATACACGCGCATGCGATAAACACCAAACCAAATAGGATCTTTTCTTTCTTTATTCCTTTTCCTATTCCTTGGGGCGTTATTAGATCGAAGCGGTCAACTGAAATAATATTGTAAAGAAATCACTTAAGTATTGTGATCATAGCTTAAGAATAATCTCGCTTTTGGAAACGAGCACATGGCAATTAAAGGAACCAAAAGAAAGGTAAAAACGAGCGATAAATTTCGCTTTGAGTAACGACTACGAGTTAGATAACATAATCACAAAACAAGTTATTGCTCACCAACATTCGCGGGTCTTGATCACTTTATCGAGGATTACAGTCTAACTTGTCTTCTATTCAAAAACGATTTTGATCACAAAGGGTCTTATCGTGAACTGAAACGCTAACTATAATTTTCTGTCTAAAAAGAACTAATCACGGGGACGTCAACCGAACCAAAAAAAAATTTCGCAGCTTTTCTCGGAAGCGGTAACACTTAGCTTCAACGGCTTAGCTTCAAGCAGTTACAACTGGATTCATGTTTGGTTACCTTTGTTCAAGCCCTCCAGCGAACGTTTTACAAATCGTCTCACAGTCGATTGTTGCGCTGCTCTCTCAACAAATGCGTAGTAAACTGTTTGAATGAAAGTAGTTGTGTACCAGCTTTTAACAGAACTGGAATCCTAGCCTCCAAGAGTCAAATTTCTCCTTCGACGTGGATATCAGGTTAGGGGACTACCCCACTTTCGATATTGGTCAAGGAGCATTTACCCTGCCTTCTTATCGGTAAAGGCGGACAAAATTGCTTTCTACTCCCAAATTGTAAAGTTTTTTTTTTTTTCCGTTCTTTCTAAGAAACTTCAACTATATTTAAATCCATCATGTAAGTTGAGTTGCGCGAAGACGAACAAAAGGGTCAGTCGCGCCTTCTCAGTAAAGTCCATATTCCACTTAGGGGTCTCTGACGGAAATAAGTTGAATAAAAACTCTAAACATTTTCGACTTCCAGCCTGCGGAATAAAAGTGATCCATGAACAGAATGACCGTTAAACCTCTGACTGTAAAGTAGTTTTTGACTCATTCTACGATACGAGTTAATATTATAGCAACAAATCTCCGAATGACCTTTTGCGGTGCTTCTCGGAAAATGGACGAGGTCGGTTGACTGTTTATCATAGAGCTATTTGGGCGTGTAGTCAAAATTGTTATACAGATATCATGACAAGCATTCTAAACGATGTTCATTCGAAATCATAAATCGCGCGTTTGAGGGCTCTAATAGATCTATATGATAGTCTCTCACTTTTCATCAGTTAGATGTTATCATATTAATAAATGCCAAGGCGGTTCTTATAAACACTCAAATTGTTTGCGCTTCGTATGAGGTTATGGAATTACAATACATTTAAGAGCTTAGTTTGCAATGTAGATGTTCAAGTGCTTTACTTGATAGTTAAGTCAGATTATAAAATTGCTGCACAGCTTCAGTGTGTTATCATTTGAACTGATTTCGCAACAAATTTTCGCTATTCAAACTACGGAGTTATTTGTCTGTCACAGTCCGCGTGTGACCTCCACTTCACTTGGTTTAATGAAATTCAGCCAACGTAATGTAAGACTTGAAGACTAGAAATACAAGTTTCAGAAAACGTGATACTTAGATAGCTCATTACACAGTAATCGGCCAGAAAGGAACTTTTCAAATAAAGCCAAAACGTTCAAAACCTCGCCGACTGACGCATGATTTTGCACTGAGAAATCAAAGTACCGTGACAGTAAACCTCGTGTAAATTACAACAGCCGGAATGAATAATTATGATTTATTTCGAGACTGAATTAATGTTTTGTTACCTTTGCTCAAGCCCTCCAGCGAACGTTTCACAAATCGTCTCACAGTCGATTGTTGCGTTGCTCTCTCAATAAGTGCGTAGTATACTGTTTGAATGCAAGTAGTAAAGTGTGCATCAGTTAAAATAGTCCTAGCCTCCAAGAGTCAAATTTCACCTTCAATGTGGATATCAGGTTTGGGGATTACCCTACTCTCAATATTGGTCAAAGAGCATTTGCTCTGCCTTCTTATTGGTCAAGGCGGACAAAGTTGCTTTCTACTCCCAGTTAGTAAACATATTTTTTCCCGTTCTTTTCTGAGAAACGTAAACTATATTTAAATACGTCATGTCAGTTGAGTTACGCGAAGTCGAACAAAAGGGTCAGTCGCGCCCGTGACATTGATTAAGCCCGCAGACCATTTCAACTGAAACTCTCACCAACGAAATTTAAAGCTGGGCAAAAAGTCAACATTAGTTTTTAATGAACACAGGGTATACGACCTGAAAACAAAACTAAAAACTACTCTCGAGCGCACTGTTATGGTAATTTCCCAAATCAAAAGTAATCTCGTGTCTCTGTCTGAACTATTTCCGGTAATATAACCTTCTGTTATTTTTTTGGTTTCGATTCTCAGAAATCGTATTCGAATGAAGCTTATGAGATGAATGAAAACCTTTGCATCAATACCTACGACACTTTTCGGAGCTTGTAGCGCGTAATATAAACTGCTAATGAGTTATCTGAGCCAAAATAATGTTAGGTCGACTTGTGCCAGTGCTAAGTGATACCGACGGGTTAGCATGAATCATCTTTCAGTTGCCTCACGTTTCCGTTTTTGTATGTGACAAAAAAAAGCGAAGTAAATGCTGTCAATGAAACTCTCTTGACATATCCAAGCTCCAGACAATAAAATTTTCCGGGTAGAATCGGTCACATTTACTGACTTCTACGTTTTGCTGACGGAAAATATCGGCAAGCAACAGTAGCCACCGTACTTCCACTTGGCAGGTTATGTAGATTTTTACACAAGAAGTGATTGGCAGCGGCCCGAGCAAATTGGAAAACAAACGTAAGGGAGTCGCGAGGAATGCATGGTCGCTATTTCCGGTGTTGATGATTAACTCCTTTGTTTGCGAAACAGATGAAATCGATATTTGCGCTTTCCCATACTACAAGTACAGCAGTGCTTTTGCTCGATTCGAGAATATGGATTCCTCTTCGAAATCGTTTGCAGATTATTTCATATAGTAAACGTATAAACGTTGAAATTGCAAAAGCGCTCGTGAATTCTATATGCTGCTAAGTTACGGGCTAAGGACCGGAAATTTCGTGATCTCGTCTGATAAGATGAATGACAAAAGGAAGATAGATAAATTTAGTAATTACACACTGTATACACAAAGGGAAACGTGAAGCAACTGATGGTACACAAGTCGACTCAAAAGGCACAGGCATAACTCAACAGTAGAGGATCTTAAACGCGATGTTTTCAATAGAAATCAAAGTCCAGTGTTCACGTGGCAGTTTCGCTTTCGCAGGACGACAAAAATGAAGAATATTCAAAAAGTCAGTCGAAAAACCGATGAAGATAATTTGTACGATCGAGTAAAAGCCGCATTAACAAGTAGTGTTTACTATTACATCCACCTCCCACCTCTCCCTGCCTAGCAATAGTCCTTCTCTCACCCTCTTCTTCTCCCTCCCTGAGTAATAACACTCTGCCTTCCACCCCTCCCTCAGTACTAGTAGACTGTATCCCACCCCTCCCTGAGTACTAATGGTGGGCCTCCCCCCCTATAAAATGGTCCAAAAAAATGGTCCAAAAAATAGTCCAAAAAATGGTCCAAAAAATGGTCCAGTCCATATTTTACCCTATGCCATTTCCCCGTCCACAATTTCGATCTAAGTATGAAGTGGGGGGGGTAGGGGATATTTACCTTTCACACCCTGGAGGCTAGGAGTGGAGATGGGAGAACTTCCGGTTTTAAAATCATAGATATATTTTCTCATTTGCTTTGAATGTCGATATCGGACAAGTAAAGTATGCATGTCTATTGTATGAAAGAGTGCTCGATTCGGTTTAACCCTTAAACCCGTAAGAGTGACCAGCATTTAATTTCTCCTTACAGAATCATCAATGAATCAATCATTAAGATCACAAGAATAATGGAAATGACCGACAAGTACGGGAACCCTTGATTGTTAAGCAAAATCTCCTTGTCAGCACCAAAGGAAATTTATAGAAAACAGTATGGAGAATATGCATACTGATCTTAGGGTGTAAAGAGTTAAGAGAAAATGGCATAGCACGTTTATACTGTTCTGTAAGTCATTGAACAAACACTTTGGTATTAGGGAACTACTGAACTTACTCAACTGGTTGAGGAATCTGACCACGATTAATTAGACAATAGGACTTTAAGAGTCAGAAATTAACGTCTTTTAACAGATTAATTGCTAAGATTTCAAGTTACTCGCAAGAAAGCCTCTTCCGTCATTTCGCAGAAATTTCGTGACCATATGCAAAATACACCTGATTAGACATAGTTTGAAGCTACACTGGTTTGCAGATTTAATGAATGTAACC